AAACATAATGGTGCATAAGTAGATATTAAATTCATTTGTTTAATATTAAAAATTAGGGATTCAGTCCTCTTTGATTAGGAAAATTAGTTATTGTTTTAGTTATTTCTCTAAGTGCCTTTTCTTGGTTATTACACTTAATTTTTTTCTTTAAAATGGATTTTGTAACTCTAGTGTCTGAAAATGAAGTAATGAGTTAGTCAATGATATAAGAAAATTATTCTCATTTCTCTCTTGATTAATATTATCGATCAAACGTGTATCTTTAATGGCAATATTTCTAGAGGCTGCCTGCTGAATTATGGGAGGCAAGCTCGCACTGAGACCTGACTCTGAATCTGGAACTTGTCCCTCAGTTACCCTTTTGCTTGAGCAAGTCACTGAGACTCTCATTTTTGTTTGACTCCGAAAAGCAGTAACAGAGAAAGAGGACTCCCATTCTCCTTTGCTTAGAAAAGGGTGAGGAAGGAAGGTATCAAGGCAAAGACTGCAAGGGCCCGATGATGAGAAGGGCCTGGAGCAGGGCAGAGGGGAAGGTACAGCCGAGGCCAGGGGGTCTGCACTGGACAGGGATGTGGGGGTCTGCACTGGACGGGGAGGCGGGGGTCTGCACTGCACGGGGAGGCGGGGGTCTGCACTGGACAGGGATGTGGGGGTCTGCACTGGACGGGGAGGCGGGGTCTGCACTGGACGGGAAGAGCTGGCAGCACCTGGTCAGGAGATGACAGCAAGGTGTGGTGCAGCGGTAGTGGAGGTCCCGCCCTGGGTGTGAAATCCCTCAAGGAGAGAAAATTCCTTTCACTCTGTTTTCTCCTCCACGCCTCCCTGTGTCCCTGCCTTCTTACATCGCCCATCGACTGATCTTCCCACCGAGATGCCTGTGACGTGCCCTCCCCAGGCTCCTGCCACTGCTGTGCTCTAGGTGCCCCGCATCTCTCCTCTGCCTGGACAACTGCTCGGCTCCTAGACAGGCCCTGCCATCCGTCCGCCCCTCCCCCCAGGTCCCTCCTCCCCACGCATCCTCTGGATGGACGCATTAGCATGGGTAGCGAGATATTAATAAAGGAAAAGGCAAAGGGAATCAGACATTAAGAAGCCTAATCTACTGGGAAGCTACAGCTTCACTCATTCTCCTGGGGATTACAGAATTGCCCAGTCAAAAGATTAACATCCCTCCTTCCCCACAGAGGGAGAAAGGACCAGCTTCCAAATCTCCGCGGGTAAAACCGGCCCACGCACCTGGACCAAGGCTGCAGGAATAAACAATAAAGGGGACGGTCCTCTGCTGGGCGCGCGCCCAGGAGACGCCAGGATGGCGCAGAGGGAGATGCTTCTGTGCACAGTGGGCGGCAAGATGCCGCTCAGAAGGGGCGGAGCCTACTCTGGGCAAAGGATCTGATTGGATAAGGGCCACAGAACCCCAGAAGATCTAGGAAATGGATTGGTTAGAGGGAGGATCCAACACCAGCCTGGGGAGGATTGAGAAATTGATTGGTTATTTTGAAAAAGCGCCTGGTTGTTCCCAAGCCCCAGATAATATGGTCCGAGCTTAACAATGCTGTTGGCCTTCCTCCTGGTAGCACGTGCCCGCCTGGTTTGTCCCCTGTTCTCTCTCCCCAGCAGCCATGCGGACCTAGCAGCTGCAGATTGGCACCCCGGGGAATCAAGGGCAGGCTCCGGGCGCCACCGGAGCAAAGCATCGCAGTGCCAGCCTAAGCCAGCCAGATGGGGTCAGAGACTCAGCTGGACTAAGCCTCAGCATGGCACAGAATCTTTTGACACTGGCCTTTGTTCTGGGCCTGATGAAGACTGGGTTGGACTTTCGCACAGTGAGATGGACAGAGATGGGACACCGAGAACCTGGTCGCAGGCATTCTCACCCAGCCCCGGAAATCTCACCACTAAACCCCACCCTCCCAGGCAGGCTATTCTCACAGCTCCATGGAAGGACCCCATTTCCACTGGCAACAGAGGCTCTGCCCCCTCCTCTTGCAAGGAGAGAAAATCCCAACTCCTGGGTGTGGCACACAAGGTCTGTTATACCCAGTTCCTGACTTCCTCTCCTGCCTGACAGTCCACTGTTTCCCACCACAAATCATATCCTCCACCCCGACCAAATGACTCATCATTTCCCCAACGCACATGGTTTTTCTTCTGCCTCAGATCCTAGCTCTACTTCTGCACACGGCCCGTCCTTCCCTGGTGATCTCCTGGTACCACGCGTGGGAGTCACCACCCACCTCCCATAGGAGACAGTAGTCTTTTCTCATAGGACCACCAGTGCCCCACTTCCAGTTAATCACGTCAATCGGTGCATGTCCTTCTCAGCGCAGGGCTGGGCACAGGGCTGAGCCACTGAAAATTCTCCATCCCCCATCCTTCAACCACAGAGGATGACCCCATGGAGAGCCCGTTCCAAGCGAAGCTCATCAGTCTTTCCCCTGGACTGATACATGAGCACGGGAAAGATAGCATCTTTGTTTAGCTGTTATGCTAAGAGAGCAGGATGTGGGTCCAGCTGTGCTGGTCACCTGGTCTCCCTGAGGTCAGACCTCATTTACAGGATGAAGCCCCACAGAGACATGCGGAGCTGAACGGTAAGGAGACACAAGGCCCTGGGGACCTCAGCACGGAGATCGACACTGTGTCCACTCAGTGAATACGAACGTGTCTAATGAATAATAAAGAGATGGTTGGTGATATGTGGGACAAACCGGAATTAATGATGGGTGGGCAGACAGACAGATGGGCGATGTACACCTGCACCATCTTAGGACCAGAGGAAGAAACTAGAAAGGCACGCAGTACAGAACTCCTCTCTTCTTTATGTTACACGCTCTTCTCAGCAGCTCAGCACCTTCCCGGTTGCTTTGTGAAGCCATGCTCCGAGGCCCCAGGAGTCTGTGATGTTCCTGCTGCTGCCATTGTTTAACCGGATCAGATAAAAGGCTTCTCCAAAAGTCTCAGCTGTGTGCACTTCAAACAGCTTGTTATGATTCATCGGTGGCCATATCAAGCTCATTCTGCCTGGCTCTAATTGACATTATATTTAGATTTATTGCCACGGCTGACTTTATTCTTTTGCACTTTTAATTGTATTATCTTCTGAAGGGGAAAATATTAGAGCTTGAGTGGAATTATATTAAGTTACAAAATCTGAAGCAAAAGATTCCGAAGATTGATGATACTCAGCACTGTCGTGGGGATGCAGAGAAGAGAACCCACATACTCTGCACATGGAAGTTGTATATTGGCAAAAGTTTACTGGAGGATATTTTGACAATATGTGTCAAAATCTGAAATGCCCTAGCAACTCTATTTAGGGGAATTTTTGCCCAAAGAACTAACTGAATAATTATTCAAACATTTCTATATACAAAGAATATTCATTGCATTATTTTTTTTTTTTTTTTTTTTAGTTAATCCTCACCTGAAGATATTTTTCCATTGATTTTTTTTTTTTTTTTTTTAGATAGAGTGGAAGAGAAGGAGGGAGAAAGAGAGAGAAACATCGATGTAAGAAAGACACATTGACTGGTTGCCTCCTGCACGACCCCAACTGGGGCTGGAAATTAAACCTGCAACCCAGGTACGTGCTCTTGACCTGAACTGAACCCAAACCCCTTTGGTTCATGGGCTGACTCTCTAACTACTTAGCCACACAGCCAGAGCCATTACTATTTTTAATAGTGAAACACTAAAAACATCCAAACTGTCTGTCAATATGGGATTATTTATATCAATGTTAACACACCAAGACAGTGTAACACTGCATATATACATTAAAAATATTACATATAGCTATAGACATGCACATATTTGGATAAAGACATAGATATAAATGCAAAGGAATATGTAAGTGCATGTATATATAGGCAGCTATATAAATAAAGGTGAAAAGATTTTACTGATATATTGTTAAAGTTAAAAAATTAAGTCACAGACTAAATATATAATTTTACTTCTATTGAAAATAATGTAATATTCACATATATGTACTTATATACATCAAAAAAAGCTAAAAGTATATTTGGCAAACTATTACCAATAGTTCTCTCAGGGGATTAGATAATAGAGAGCTTTCATTTTATTTATGTTTTTAATATGTTTTATTGATTTTTAGAGAGAGAGATACACTGATTGGCTGCCTCCTGCACACCCCCTACTGGGGATCAAGCCCGAAAGCCAGGCATGTGCCCTGATCAGGAATCGAACCAGGACCTCTCAGTCCATAGGACGATGCTCAATCCAGTGAGCCATACTGGCTGGGCCGTTTTATTTTTTTTCACATGTCTGTATTATTTGATTTTTAGTGGTTAGTAGGTATATATTTTAATAATAAGATTAATAGGAAAGAGATCTCTGTTTGGGGGGGAATAGTTTCCATATGTTGCTCTTTATTCTGTGGGGTGTACACTGATTATGCACACTTCTGTCTGCATGCTATCAGATGTATCTAGGCAAACATGAGCGTCTTCTGTGCACAGGTCAGCAGTGAGGCCGCACCAGGAGCAGGTGTACACCACGTATCGGGGCGTGCTGATGTGTGCTTTGGAACAGACAAAACTATAGACTGAGAACATACGTGTATTTTTTTTTTATTTCTCACTTGAGGATTTTTTTCCATTTATTATCAGATAGAGTGGGAGGGAGGGAGAGACAGAGAGACATAGAGAATCATCGATGTGATAGAGCCACATCGACTGGTTGCCTCCTGCATGACCCGACCGGGGCTGGGAACAAACAGCAATGGAGGTAGGTGCCCATGACCTGAATCAAAACACAACTCATTGGTCCACGGGCCGACGCTCTACCACTGAGCCAAACCGGCCAGGGCCACACATGCGTGTCTTCATACATTTATCTCATGAGACTGGAGAGAGAGAGCCAACCGAATTCTGATTCCCAAAATGAGAATATGTGTAAAGATTAAGCCCTGGAATCAGAAAAGCTCACGTGTCTGGGAATGTGAGCAAGACATCACCAGGGACAGGCTGATCATTGGAACATAAACGATGAAAATAAGAACTTCGAAGAAAAGCCAACCTCAGTCTTCGGCTGCAGGAAGCCGAGGAAGGTGGCAGAGGACAGGTTTCCAAGGGACCCCACCGCCACTGCAGACTGTTGCATTTTTTGTTTCAGTTCTAGTTTCTTCTATTTAAAAATCAATCAAAACTTGTTTGGTTCTTTCATTCCAATGGAAGGCAGCGAACGTCTCTGGAGAAGAGCATGGTTTCACAGAGAAGTTTCTAAGCCCATAGGACGGAGCTGGTCGACTTGAGGGTCCCGGCTCTGCACCCTCATTCCTGTTTCTTCGTTTGCAATGGGACGTGGTTCCTTCGCAGAATTCCACGTGGAGGTGTGGACGTGGAAGGTTGTCCTCAACCCTGAAGCACTTGCAAAGACGTGAGCCTTTTAACTGTTCTCATTATGTTTCTCACCCTAGTTGTCAGGAGGTTAAAAAAAAAAAAAAGTCTCGCTGTTCGAGTCCAGTTGAAAGGGAGAAAGGAGAGAGGATTTGGAGAGATGAAGTTCAAGTCTTCTGACACCTCAGCCGATGAGTGCCCACGGACAAGCCCACGTGGAGATGCCGGCGTGTGTCCGCTCCTGAAGAAAGGGATTTCTAACCCTGTTCCCAGGGTGGTGTGTGGCTCAAATGAGACAATGGTGATGGAAAAACTTCATACACTGTGTGTCCTGCGCGTATCAGCTATCGTCAACGATACCAGCAATGACAGTTGTTCTAGAAAAACCGGAGCTGGGGGCTAACGTGGAAAACACAGGTGTAATTCTGGAACTGGAGCTAAAAGGTGGAAGCGACCTCGGTATAGAACTGGGCTCCATTGAAATACAAGAAGGAGCAGTGGGAATGTTTGGCCAAGCAGCCGGTTCAGGGTTGGTGGTTGGAAAATTCCCAAGAGGCGACATCAAGGGTCGAGGGACCGTTCCTGCTTGTTCCTGAAGTGACCAAAGGGTCCTCTCGCCGAAGGCAGGCGGAGGGTCAGCGTCGCCTGCGTGGTCACCCCCCCCCCCCATGCCTTCTTTCTTTTCTGTTTCGTTCTATTTCAGACGGACAAGGAGTCTCGTTTTAGAAAATAACATACAGCAAAGCACTGGTAGTGTGTAAAGAGCTTGTACTAACATTGGCTTTCTTCAAAGTTGTGCTGTTCATCACTTACGCTAAGACCACCAGGAGCCCACGGGGCCTCTCAGTCCTCAGGGGAGCCCTGCACGGTTCCCTGCTCCTGGGTGGGGAAGAGGTTTTCAACGGGGCCTTTGCGGAGGCGAAGCCAGCACTGTGACCCTTATCATCATGATGTGAACTTGGCATCATCCTTTTGTCCAAAACATCTGCCTGAAAGATTGTGGCAGGAAGCAACTGATAAAAAAAAAAAAAAAAGGAAGAATTTAGCTTAGCCTGTCACTCACGTTGCTGGAATTAAAGCAATTTGCATTTCTAAAATGTATCCGTTCTATTCACAGCCTGCCATAGAGATGGAAAAGGCTGGGGGGGAACAGCCCTTCCATCAGCGATCCTGGGGGTGAGGCAATTGCTAACAGAATCCCAACCTAGATTTCTCCGCAGGACACCCGAGTGCCAGCTTCCACAGGTGAGTGGGTGTGAGTTCCACTTACCTTCTCCGGTGACTAATTACCAGGGTCCTGGCACCCAGAGACGTCAGAGCTGATTAGAGAACTTGCTCTCCAGCACAGGAAACACAGGTCACAGAACTGTACCTGCAGACCCAAAGGCTGTTCTTAAATCTTCCGTGAGCTCACTTGGGACGGGAAGGGCAGGAGCTGACAGGGTTCTACAATCCTACTTGCACAAAGGAAAGAAATAATGAACAGTGAAACTCAGAAGAGCAGTGAGCAAGGGGGGAGAAATGAAAGTGTCTTTTAAAAATAAGCCACTAAAAATTGCCACTGGAACTGTATATGTTCCCAACCAGCAGTGACCCATGAGAGTCATCTATCTCTTTCTCCCTGTCTTTGGACAGTGTCACCCCAGGCGTTACCCTAAGACATTAGTCATCACCCCAAGGTCACACAAGTTGGAGGACCCCCCAATTCGCTGATGCTTGAGGGAGTCCCCAAACTTTAATCTATGTTTCTCAAGGCCAGATTGCTCTAGGCTCACAATGATAAATTGGAGACACAGGTTTATGATTTAACACCATAATTTTCTCTATTCCGAGAAAAGCCCAGTGCTAGCACCCTCTAGATCATCCCTTTCCTTCTGGCTCAGCACGTGTCATCTCAGCAACGCACCAACAAGAGCCCAGAACGCATTCCCCTCCACCGGCCAACAAGAGAAATTACTCCAAGTACCTGTGAGCCCAGCAGAATTCCCTCGAGATTTGTTTGGGTGGAGGCGTGGGGAACAGGGGGCAATGTATCCAGCAGAACCCAGCTGGATCAATCAGGTACGACGGAATGAACACGTGACCCCCAAACCTCAAGGCTTCCAATACTAGTTCTGCTGCCTGTCCTGCCCCGTCGATCGCAGCGGGCCCTGGCTCCGTTCCCATGTTCCTCCAGGGAGAGGCGGCCGGGCGTTTTCTCTCTGGAACATGGCCAGTCCCACGGAAGAGGGAACCACTCACCGATGCCTAGAGCTTTCGCCTGGAAAATGACGCACATCAATTTCACTCACGGTTTATTGACCAAAGCGGGTCACGTGGCCAGGCCTGAGTTCTGAGCGTGGGGATGCAGAACGCTCCCTCAGGAAAAGGCACCAAATATAGCTGAACAACAATACCGTCCGCCGTGTCAGCACTTGTAAATTGCACAGTGGACAGCATGGGCTCAGAGTGCTTTGGCAGGGTCCCCAGAGAGAGGTCTCCCCTCTCCTCTGCTCCTCTTCCCCACCTCCAGAGCCAGACAACCTCCCCCGGTCTCACGCGAACCCCCTGAAATCGTAGCTCTTGAACACACAACCCTGCTACACCAGCCGCTCGTCCAGGTCTTCTTTGGAACACAGGACTGCGGGTGTCAGCCGTTAAAATAATAGTATTTTCTGTGTCTGGTTTTACAAGAAAGCCCAGGACGGAAGCGGGAAGAAAAGCAGAACCCAGCCTCCTGAAAATAGCAAGTTTACATCTTAATCTGTAACAGCTCCAAATGCCAGGAAGCCCACAAGGAGACGCAGGGGAAGCTGACACCTGGGCAGAGCAGGGGAGTGTGCCAAGTGCGTGTTCTCCGGACCTGGGGGTGAGGTGGCGACCTGCTCCTGACGCCGCTGCCCAGCTGTAGCCCCAGGGATGCTGGTGGACAGAGGACAAGGCCCAGGCGGTCGGTGGCAAACACTCGAGACAGATCTTTGTTTCGTGTTCTGAGGTTAGGTGACAAAAAAGATCACCTTTTCATGGGCTTATTAGCTCCTTGTATAACTTCTTTTGTGAAGTGTCTGTTCAAATGATTTGCCCAATAAGAAAAAGCCAGATAATTCTATTTTTTAAAAGGAAAAGAGATATGAACAGGCATTACATAAAATTGCCTATTAAAAGTTTCTAATAGGAAATGAAAAGATACCAACATTCATCTAAGAAAGTAAACTATAATTCACACAAGAAATGTTGGAATATTGTTTTGGTGAGGATGTAATACAACTGGACATCTCAAATATTCGGAATAGAAATTGGTGCAAACACATTGGATACCTCTTTAGATGTATCTAGTAGCCCTAAATGCAGACCCACCCTATAAACCACCAAGCCCACTTACAGTCTTATCGCTCCAAAAAATGAATACATTTGTCCACCAAAAAATATGAACAAAGATGTTTATAGCAGGTTTATTTGCCATTACCAAAAGCTGGAAATAACTCAGTTATCAACAGAAAAATGGATGCATACATGGTGGTATAGTCAAATAATGGACTACCACATAACAATAAAAAAATAACCAACCACTCATGTAGATGTAACATGGGTGATTCTAAAAAGAAAATTACTTGGAGCAAAATAAGCCACACTGCAGTTACCTGACGTTCAAGAGCAGGAACATCTACCGGTGGTGAGGAAAGTTCAGTTGTGATCATGTCAGGGGTGGAGAACTGATGGTGAAGAGACAGAAAAGATGGGTCCCAGACACACTGTCTCTGTACAGCGGTCACACGTGATGTACAGGAAGTTTCATCAAACTCTGCCTAAGATAATTGCTCTCTAGGTAGTTGACTGAATGTGTTATACATCAGTTTTAAAAATGAACTTTACCAAAGAATGGAAACCTTGCCAATTTCCATGAGAAAATAAATTTTCTCATTTCAAAAAAAAATAATGTTGAAGTTGAAAGCTCTTTTTCAAATCTGTAGTGCATCTCAACAGATGGGTTAGAATTAATCAGGTGAAGAAGGAAATCACATTTTAAAGAGAAGCAAGAGAGAACAAGAATCATTAAGGCAAGCCCAGCCGGTGTGGCTCAGTGGTGGAGCGTCGACCCTGCACCAAGAGGTCGCCAGTTCAATTCCCAGTTGGGGAACATGCCCGGGTTGTGGGACCAATCCCCATTGGGGGCATGCAGGAGGCGCCAGTCGATGTTCTCTCTATCAATGTTTCTATGTCTCTCCCTCTCCCTTCCTCGCTCTCTAAAATCAGTAAAGAAAAAATGTTTTTTAAAAAAAGAAGAATCATTAAGGCAATTATCAGCAGTGCAGATCTAGTCGGTTACGGGGTAAAACCTGGATGACCAGCATCTTTAGACACCTGCTCTTGGGTTTCCAGAAAACGGGAACCATGGAGAACGTAAGATGTCTAAGAGACCTAGGGTGATGATTCACTTACACGAACTGGTATTTCACTCTGGGAAGCAAACAGAGAAAATGGTGCTCGTTTGTTTCTCCAGATGGGATCCAGAAGTTTCCAAAGGAAGCTGGAACAGCCTGGCTTGAACGTTACCATCTCTCTCCTCCTCCCAGATGCCTGGGCAGAGGATTCATAACAACACACATGGGATTGTTTTCTCTGGGCCCGGTCTTCGTCTGTAAGAATAAAGGCTTGGAATAAAGGCTTGGGTTCTCTTGTTGTCATTCTTCCTGCCCTGCTCAACTGTCCCTGGGCAGGATGCCTGTGGGGTGTAGACCGGTGATTAAAAATGTCCTATTCACTACCGTGAACGTCAGCCTTTCAACCCAGACTTAGACTCTGAACTGCAGGAGCACCGGCATTTCACGGCTAATAGTAGCCTATTGTTCCCCCTGATCACGCGTACCCTGGCCTCCCCGGTGACTGACAGAGGCAGCCTTGGGAATGCACGCTTATCTGGTGGGAACAGACTAGATGCTATCAGGTTCGTTTCAGAACATCTCTGAGCAACATTTCTCTCTTTTTGTCTTTTTTTTTTTTTGGTGACCAGAAAAAGTAGGTCAGAGGGAGGGGGGCCTGGGTGAGCCACACGGGCCAAGTTGGGGCACATCATGTCAGCCACACTGTCCTTTTCCCCCTCTGGCTCCCCTTTCTCCTCACTGGGGCCCACCTCGTGGTTTCGGGTTCAATTAGGAAGGAAACCGCCTGCTGATTTGAAGATACTGTGGGTCTTTCTCTCCTAACTGCAGAAGCCTGATAAGAACGCAGGGGTGATGTGAGAACGTAACTGATTACAGCAATGTTTAAACCAGACAGACGCAGGGGAGAGGGGGCAGCGCGCTGGTCACAGCTATGGAGTACATGTCTTCGTGAAAAGAGGAAAATAAGCCATTGTGCTTTGTGGTTTAACTTTGGAAGAGGGCGTCAGGACAGAGCCGACTATTTCCTGAACACGGGTGGGGCCGTGGGCGAGTCTCTCCGACTCCGTGGATCTAGGGTGTTCCATCTCTGCAGGAGAATCCTCAACAGGAGGCCCCAAGGGCCCTCTGGGCTCTGAATTCCATGACTCGGCTAATTCTAGAATTCGATGAGCTTGTTTTTGGTTTGGGTTTTTGGAATAAAATCTGTTGGGTCACATCTGGTAAGAGGCAGAGCACACGTGGTCCCACTGTGCGCTCCAGCGTCATGGTCCTCACTCTGCTGGACACACACAGCGGCGGCCTCTGCCCTCACCCTCTGCTGGCGAGAACCTTCTGGTCCTCCTCGGGCAAGTGTGGACACTCCCTGCCTCTCGGAGTTGCTGTATTTTCTAGAAAGCCAGGTACGGTGCCTGGCTTCGAGAAGCTGACATTAGCATGTCTAGTTCCCACGTACCGGAGCACAGACGCTGGAGCCAGACTTCGTGGGCCTGAATCTGAGCCCCGCCGGGTTCTGTGTTACCTGGGACAAAGTGCTCGACCTCTCTGCCTCAGCTGCCTGGTCTGTGAAGGGAGATAATACCACCTCCCTCACTGGGTTAGGGTAAGGTTTGAATGGATGACTGTATAATGCATTTAAATAGTATTTGGCACATAATAAAGGCTATTATTTTTTAATTAAATGAAATGTGTGCAGGTGCATGTGTGTGTGTGTTTGAAAATCATTGGTGGCACCATCCCCATCACCACCCAGGAGGGCCTTTGGAGGTCTGCAGGCCCAACTTCCTCATTGGGCTGGTGACCTTTGACACTGTCGGCCACTTGCCTTTTACAAAGCGTTTTCACATCTCTGACCCTGCTTGAGTTTGTGAAGAGGTCACGCCCCATATAATGGACAGGAACTGGAGTTGGGATGAGATCCAGGGCTCCTCTGCCCAGAGTCTTCTGTGCCATTACCTACTTAGCAGCAGCTGGTACCGTCTAACACGCCAGACTTAGCCCGGGTTATCTGGTTTCACCCTGAGCTTGACGCAGGAGACCGATGTTACCAGCTCATCTTCAATGATGTGAAGGAACCCGCATAAGGTCACATAGGCGTGAAGTGACAAATTTGGAACGACAGAGTCCAGATCTGTGTTATATTTCTGTGCTTCTGGTGAGACTGTGTGATAATAATGTCTAGATGCTAATGCAAGTTTCTTCAAAAAAGGCTGGTCTTCCTACATTCAAATCCTGCTCTATCTCTTACAGCTGTGGGACTTGGGGAACATTACTGAACTTCTCTGTACCTGTGAATTTGGGACAACAATGGTGTCAACCACATAGGGTTAGAATGAGAATGCATTGAGTTAAAATTTGTAAAAAGTTTAGCAAAGAGTCTGAAATTCAGTGAGCCCCATGCTAATGCTAAGTATCTCCATGCTACCCTTATGATTTCTGCAGGATCTATTATTGCCTTAGAAAGTGGAGGTTGAACTTTGGAAATCAGTCGAGTGTTAACCAAGCCTCGTAGTTCTTTTCTTATTTTTTTACCCCTATCTTTATTACCCAAAAAAAAAAAAAAATCCAAAGGTCTTAAGAAAAACAGTATACAACAGATTAAAAGGAAGTAGATCAAGGCAAGAAAATAAAGGCCAGATTCGTTCATTACACTTAGGTCACGAAGTGCTGCGCGTTTCCAAGATCAGTTCACAAAGTCAACTTGATTTCTAGCCGTCCGTGCAAAGAGGGACGTGAGACCAGAGGATGCAAACGGAAATGAAACACTCCGGAGAGGCCACGTGGTCCCATGGCCGTGCACAGAGGGCAGTGTGCACACAATGCCCCACTCTAAAGCCCGGCCTGGCCAACAGCTGATCATGTCTTTAGAAGCCGCTGGCCCAGAAGATCCCACCAGAAAACAGTCACAGGGGACCAACGGCTCTGTCGTGAGCAAGACTTGGGTTCCACCCGAGCCCCGGGCCCTCCTCGCTCCACAGCTTTCACTTCTGCATCTCCGGGTGGAGGTTCGGCTGTAAAAATAACGATGCCAACCGCTGGGTCCGACTTCACACCCGCGGTGTGGGCTTCGGGGCTGCAGCATCCCCTGGGCTTCTCTGAGGTCATCAACGTGCTGCCTTCAGGGCTGGTGACAGGCTGTGGAGCATACAGAATGGGGACGCCGTCAGGCAGACCCCCTGGATCAGGCAGGTGTCTGGGGACCACAGAAGAGCAGGCAGGTGTCCACACTCCAACCCTGATGCTGACGCCCCGGAGACATCAGCTCCCTCCATCCTCCAACTTCTGGAATCTCTCAAAATGCTGGGTCCTTCAGATGGATAGGATGGGGCCTTCATTTCTCTCAAAACCACTCTTCTTGTCCTCAGCCCTAGTCGGTTCTTCCTGAGACAGGTGGTTTTCACCTCGGCCCCCACCTTCCCAGCGGGAGGCCCCATCTCCATCCTTCTCCGCATCACCTGTCACCCACAGATCCCTTTCCCTGCGGCTCCTCCCTTATCAGCAACAGCAGATACTGCCCCGTCTAATCCCTGGGAGGATTTAAATAACCGATGCTGACGGCATTCATTTGTACAAGTCATGAAACTATTAGAATAAGCCTTCCATATCTCCGCTGGAGACACGAGGCCTCTCAACTCTGAAGTCCTTAAGCATCTTAAATTTAAATCACTCATCACATTTTGCCTGGTTTTATAGTTATTCAGATTCATAGCCTAACTTTCCCTTCCTTTCTTGAGGCAAAACCCATGCCCTTGCTCCTTAAATATCTAATGAGTGAATAAAGAAATCCCCCTAGGCCATCTTTGGGGGGATAGAGCAGTGAAGGGACATTACTCGGAAGGAGTCCTTCACCCACGGGGCACACACATCCATCAGCCCGGCGATAACTCGCTGGAGCAGCCGCAGGGAGACGGAGCTACGTGCCCGCGGAGCAGAGCAGGGATCCTCCACGACGTCGTGGGCAAGTGAATTATTTATAGCCAGCCAGCAGGGACAGGCGGCTAATGGGAGGCCTGGTAATTCACAGAGCACCTGACACTGAACATCCCAGCAGCCAAGTTAGAAAGGGAGACAGGAGGCTTATACAGTTCTGGGTGTCAAATCCAGCACCCCAGTTTCCAGGGGACCAACACATTTATCTTGTTGGGTTGGACTTCTGACAACCCTTTACCTCGGGGCCCTGAACTACGTAACGAAGAGCGTAACAGAAAGCATAGTTTTCAGTGGTCGAAATGACCGATGTAAGGTCAGATTGTTGATCCCTTGGGGGAAAGCAAATCCCCTGAAGAAGCGAAAAAAGAACCACGGTGAGGGTGTGGACAAGCCGAAGCATCCATGCCCTGCTGGTGGGACTAGAAGATGAGGCACCAGGCGGGGATCCAGTGCGCAGTTCCCTCTAAGACTGAACACGCCACTACCGTGTGTCACCTACGATGGCATCCCTGATGTTTACCCCGGAGAATAAAACCTTGTGTTCACACCCAGGCCCACACACGGATGTTTATAGCCACGTTATTTGTAAAAGCCTAAAACTGAGAACCACTCGGACGTCCATCACCTGGTGGACGGCTAGACACACTGTGGTATGTCCACACCGGGCACGCTATTCGAATATAACGTGGAGCAAACAGGGCGCGGGCAGCAACCCAGCGACTCTTCCGAGAACCGTGCCGAGTGAAAGCGTCCAGTCCCAAAGGTTACCTACTGTATGACCCTGTTTATAGGGCAGTCTTCACACACACAAACTGTAGAAATGGCCAACTGGTTACTGTTGCCAGCAGGAAAGAGGGGGTGGCCCCCTAAGGAGTCTGGGTAGAGGGGATGCTCTGCACCTTGGCTGCAACAATGTCAATACCCCAAGCTGTGACACTGTACTACGGGGATTTTCTATTTATTCAATAAGCAAATATTATCTTTTAGGTACAAGAAACACAGTTTAAGCACTAAACATCTCCAGCCCTAATAGACTTACAGTCAAATTAGAAAGAAACAGTCAAAAGAGAATAGAGAAGTTTATAATCAAGAAACTTGAGATGTTAAAATTATCTTTAGATATTAAAGAAGTCAAGAACTTGTTTGTTACAGATTGGGGAGGGGAAGAAAAAATAATAATAACTTGTATGCTTTTATCTGGATGACGTTTCCCACGCTGAATTTTTCACATTTAATT